AATGAAGGGGCGTTGATGAAACAAATGCGGGAAATGGAGGGAAAGGGGATGGATGGAAAATGTGTGGACAATTGATGGAAAGTTCCTGGAAAATGCATTGATGGAATGAATGGAAAAAGGATTGCAACAGGGTGCAACAATTGAGCATCCATGGCGGACATTGCTTTGGATGATGCAGTCGATGCAGGGGGTGCTGTCCACGCCGGTCAGGGACGTGTGGGGAAATGAGGGGAAAGGTGAATGGAAATGGATCGAAAATGTCTGGAAAATGGATGTCAAAGGATTTGCACGAAAATGAAGACGGCACTGGAGAGAAACCGGGATGCATAGAAATGCACGGGCAGAACGTGAAGGGAACCGGACAGCGGGAACGAAAAGGGAAAGGAATACGAATAAAAAGTCTTCAAGGAAAGGGAGCTGAAACGGCAGTGAAGTGGAAGGAAGTGAAGGGACATGCCAGGAAACTGTCAGGGAAGACATGCAAAGGAAGTGAAGTTCAAATCATCCCGATAACTCACAGGACTTGGAGGGAAAGGAAATGAAAGAACGGGAAGGGGTGTGCGGTGGCCGGCTGTGTCGCGTCAGCGTGTAAATCCGGCCATCGGGCCGCAGGCCAAGCCCGCAGGGCTTGCCTTCAGGTATAAGGCCGCGCCCCACGCCGCCGACCATGCGCGGACCATGCGCGGACCATGCGCATACGTTTTGCGCTGGGCCCGCCCTTATAAGGGGCGAAGGATTCGCGGATTGGTTTAGGCGATTTTTGGCGGCTTTTTGAGCATCTCCTCGCGGAGTCAAAAAAAGAGTGTTTTTTGGGGGGTGCCCATAGTGGACAACATCCCCGGCATCACCTGCATCATCCGCATCCTTGGCGGACATTGATGCGGATGATGCCGGTGATGCGGGGGATGCTGGGGATGTTGTCCCCTAAGTCGGGCCAATTTTGCCGAAAACATGCAACCTGAAAATGTTAAAATCTTAAAGTGGATGGAAAATGGATGGAAAATGGCCTGGATTGAAATCTCAAAATCCTAAAGTCTTAGATTCTCAAAAATCTTAAATTAAAATCTAACAATCAATCTTAGAATCTCAAGATCTTAAAATCTTAGAACTTAGAATCTTAAAATCTGAAAATATAGAAACATCCTAAAGTCTTCGAATCTTGAAATCTTAAAAACCTTATGTCTTAGAATCTTGAGATCTTAAACTCTTAAAGTATGAAATTCCTATAGTCTTACAATCTTAAAATCTCAGAATCTTAAAAAGCTTTAAAAACTTAAATTCTTTAAGCCTCGAACAATTGAAATCTGAAAATCTTAAATTATTAAAATATTACATTCCTTCAATCCGGGCTATATTTTAACTTCCTTAAACTCTTAATCTTGAAATTTGGAAATCTTGAAACCTTAAGATCTTAAAATTCCAACCTTAGAAGTTAGAATCTTACAACCTGAAAATATAAACATCCTAAAGTCTTCGAATCTTGACTTCTTAAAACCCTCATGTCTTTGAATCTTCAGATGTTAAAAATCTTAAAATATGAAATTCCTAAATTCTCAAAATCTTAAAATCTCAGAATCTTAAAAGCTTCAAAAACTTAAATTCTTCAAATCTCGAACTCTTGCAATCTGAAAATCGTATATTCATAAACAAGCAAAATATAATAAAATTCCTTCAATCCGGGCTATATTTTAAATTCCTTAAACTCTTAATCTTGAAATTTTGAAGTCTTGACATCTTAAGATCTTAAAATCTTAAATTCCGAAAGTCGCCAAATCTGAAAATCTCACAAAAAAATAAAATCTTAAAGCCTTCGAAATCTGATAATGGATGGAAAATGGCTGGGCAATGCCCTGCCTGTTATAACCTTCAAAACCTTAAATCTTTGAATCTTAAAACCTTAATTCTTAAACCATTGAAACCTTAAATTCCGAAAGTCTTCAAGTCTGAGACCCTTAGAATCTCAAAGTTTTTAGAATTTTAAAATCTTAACATCTACTAATCGGACTTACAGAAAGGGAAGTGACAGAACGGGCAGGGCAAGGTGCCCGGTGGCCGGCAGGCGCGCCCCATGCCGCCGACCATGCGCAGAACATGCTCCGACCATGCGCTAGGCCCACGCTTATAAGGGGCGAAGGATTTGCGGATTCGTTTAAGCGATTTTTGTAGCATCTCCTCGCAGCGCCCAAAAACAAGTGCAAAAACGAGTCTTTTAGGGGGCGCCTACTACTGGACAACGCCCCCAGCATTGCCAGCATCATCCCGGATGATGCGGATGATGTTACGCATGCTGGCGATGCGAAACAAGGGGCTGACAATTGCAGAGCGCGAAGGGGAAGTGGAGGGAAGCAGGCGTGACTGGAAGTCCACGAAATGGAAATCAAAGGAATTGCACGAATTTGAGGGGGGCACTGGAGAGAAGCCAAAATGCAGGCAAATGCACGGTCAGAACGTGAAGGGAACCGAAGAAGGAAACGAAAAGAAATTGTGGAAATTATGGACAACGGAGAGAAACTGCGAAATGAAGGGATGTGCAGGAAACTGACGTGGAATGGGAGGCGGACTGAAGTCACGGGAAGCTGAAAAGAACAGAGGGGAGGACTGCGACTGACACGGCGAAACTGTCGAAGATGCAGGAAAGACGAAGTGAGGTTCAAATCTCGGGAACTGATCGGAATTAACGGAAAGGGAAGTGACAGAACGGACAGGTCAAGGTGCCCGGTGGCCGGCTGTGTTGCGTCAGCGTGTAAATCCGGCCACCGGACGTGATCGGGCCGCAGGCCAAAGCCCGCAGGGCTTACCTTCAGGTATAAGGCGCGCCCATGCCGCCGACCATGCGCAGAACATGCTCCGACCATGCGCATACGTTTTGCGCTAGGCCCACGCTTATAAGGGGCGAAGGATTTGCGGATTGGCTTAGGCGATTTCCGAGGATTCTTGTAGCATCCCCCGCAGCATCCAAAAACGAGTCCAAAAACGAGTATTTTTAGGTGGTGCCTAATACCGGACTACACCCCCAGCATTGCCAGCATCATCCCGGATGATGCGGATGATGCTATGCTTGCTGGCGATGCGAAACAAGGGGCTGAAGGGGAAATAGCGGGAAACAGGAGTGACTGAAAGTGAACGAAATGAAAGTCAAAGGAATTGCACGAAAATGAAGAGGGCACTGGAGAGAAACCGAGATGCAGGAAAAGCACGGGCAGAACGTGAAGGGAACCGGACAGCAGGAACGAAAAGGGAAAGGAATGCGAATAAACAATTCATGGGAAATGGCTGGATGGAATGGGCTGGAAAAAGGATGGACAAAAAGGATGCAAAATTGATGGAAATGAAGGGGCGTTGATGAAAAAAATGCGGGAAATGGAGGGAAAGGGGATGGATGGAAAATGTGTGGACAATTGATGGAAAGTTCCTGGAAAATGCATTGATGGAATGAATGGAAAAAGGATTGCAACAGGGTGCAACAATTGAGCATCCATGGCGGACATTGCTTCGGATGATGCAGTCGATGCAGGGGGTGCTGTCCACGCCGGTCAGGGACGTTCCGGCCACCGGACGTGATCGGGCCGCAGGCATAAGGCCGCGCGCCCCATGCCGCCGACCATGCGCCGACCATGAGCAGAACATGAGCAGAACTTTTGCGCTGCGCCAAGCCTGCTAAGGGGCGAAGGATTTGCGGATTTGTTCAGGCGATTTTTTGCGGCTTTTTGAGCATCTCCCCGCGGAGTCAAAAAACGAGTGTTTTCTGGGGGGTGCCCATAGTGGACAACATCCCCGGCATCACCTGCATCATCCGCATTCTTGGCGGACATTGATGTGGGGGATGCTGGGGATGTTGTCCCCTAAGTCGGGATTTTGCCGGAAACGTGCAACCTGAAAATGTTAAAATCTTAAAGTGGATGGAAAATGGATGGAAAATGGCCTGGATTGAAATCTCAAAAGCCTAAAGTCTTAGATTCTTAAAATCTTAAGTTAAAATCTAACAATCAATCTTAGAATCTCAAGATCTTAAAATCTTAGAACTTAGAATCTTAAAATCTGAAAATATAAAAACATCCTAAAGTCTTCGAATCTTGAAATCTTAAAAACCTTGTCTTAGAATCTTGAGATCTTAAACTCTTAAAATATGAAATTCCTAAAGTCTTAAAATCTTAAAATCTCAGAATCTTAAAAAGCTTTAAAAACTTAAATTCTTTAAATCTCGAACAATTGAAATCTGAAAATCTTAAATTATTAAAATATTACATTCCTTCAATCCGGGCTATATTTTAAATTCCTTAAACTCTTAATCTTGAAATATTGAAATCTTGAAACCTGAAGATCTTAAAATTACAACCTTAGAAGTTAGAATCTTACAATCTGAAAATATAAACATCCTAAAGTCTTCGAATCTTGACTTCTTAAAACCCCAATGTCTTTGAATCTTCAGATGTTAAAATCTTAAAATATGAAATTCCTAAATTCTCAAAGTCTTAAAATCTCAGAATCTTAAAAGCTTTCAAAACTTAAATTCTTTAAATCTCGAACTATTGCAATCTGAAAATATTAAATTCATAAACAAGTAGAATATAATAAAATTCCTTCAATCCGGGCTATATCTTAAATTCCTTAAACTCTTAATCTTGAAATTTTGACGTCTTGACATCTTAAGATCTTAAAATCTTACATTCCGAAAGTCGCCACATCTGAAAATCTCAAAAAAATAAAATCTTAAAGCCTTCGAAATCTGATAATGGATGGAAAATGGCTGGGCAATGGCCTGGCTGTTATAACCTTGAAAAACCTTAAATCTTTGAATCTTAAAACCTTAATTCTTAAACCATTGAAACCTTAAATTCCGAAAGTCTTCAAATCTGAGACCCTTAGAATCTCAAAGTTGTTAGAATCTTAAAATCTTAACATCTGCTGATCGGAATTACAGGAAAGGGACGTGACAGAACGGGCAGGGCAAGGTGCCCGGTGGCCGGCTGTGTCGCGTCAGCGTGTAAATAACGTGTCTCTCAAAGGCTGAGCTTCTTCAGGGGAAAGTAGAAGGAGAAGAAGGCGCAGTCCCTGGTGTCGCGGCACAGAAGTTGGCACTCCGTCACCGACAGCGCCTCTAGCCCCAGCGAGCCGAGCGCCTTCGTCATGTTCATATCCAGCGGCTCGTAGGACACATCAGACGTGCCGCAGTAGGTGGGCGCCCCCAATTCCGGCACCTCCACCTGTGACCTGACTTGAACGCTTGCGACGGCTTCTCTTCGCAAAAACATGTTGATGGCGCGAACTTGGGGCTTAAGGTGGTTTGTATGGTGTCTGGTATTGCGCCGCAAATGCCCTCAACTTGAGAGTAACAGTCAATTTCTACTTTTGCCCAGGCTTTCTCGTGTTATTGACTCCTCGTGTCCTGACTTACCACCTCGCCTCGCAAGCAACTTGTTAGCCTCCTCGACAATCGGATCAATCTGATCCTCCCCAGCATAGATATGAACTCTGAGCTGCGTAGTCTCGGAAATCCCTGCGTCTGAAGTACCTGTGACGGCAATATCGAGGTCCTCCACTTGCTGCGGGGTTCCCGAGAAAGTCCTCGCATCAGCATCGAAATGAAGCCAGTCTGGCAGTGGCTTGCCCTGCAGCGAAGCAGTCAGGGTGACGTTACCACCATGGGGGTCCACAATGACATTGCCAGGAACCTCCAAATTCAGCGGAGCACCCACCCAACTATCTGCCACTGGCAATGGCTTAACAAGCAAAGGTGCTCTGCCCACCTTTAGCGAGAATCCTGTCGAAGCTGACAGGCCCTGCGGGTTTGTGCCAGTGACAGAGATCTGCAACTGCTGCTCTTGATCCGGAAGCCCTGAAAAGGTTCTTTGCTCCGCATCGAAGTGCAACCAGTCTGGCAGGGGTGCTCCTTCCTGCAAGGAGGCACTGAAGTCCAAGTTCTGTCCCTGCGGCTCAACCATCGTGCTGCTGGGAATGGTCATTCCGAATGGATCACCCAGCGCGGACACCTTGTCGGGCAAGGACCCAGCTGTCGGCGGTTTTGCGGGCACAATTTCGAGTCGAATAGTCTGGGCGGCAGCTTGACTATCACTCATGGCCTTTATGATGATCCACTCAACCCCGGGTTTAGAGGGAACACCAGACAAGGTCAATGTGTCTGGATCAAAGCTGAGCCATTCTGGCAGCGGCGCACTTCCTTCTCCAGCTGCTTGAAAGGTCACGGCAGCTGAACTGCCCTTGAACTCGGTTCTGGGAGCCACGTGCTTGAATGGCACACCAACTGTTAGCCTCTGATGCTCCGTCTGGAAAACCACTGAGGGCACAGCTTGCGACGCCTCCGCCTTTGGTGAGGCTTGCTGATCCTTGCCAGTCTCGGGGGCTGGTGGTGCCGCTGGTGCTGGCGCCGCTGCTGCTGGTGCCACTGCTGCTGGTGCCGCTGCTGCTGGTGCCGCTGCTGCTGGTGCCACTGCTGCTGGTGCCGCTGCTGCTGGTGCCGCTGCTGCTGGTGCCGCTGCTGCTGGTGCCGCTGCTGCTGGTGCCGCTGCTGCTGGTGCCGCTGCTGCTGGTGCCGCTGCTGCTGGTGCCGCTGCTGCTGGTGCCGCTGCTGCTGGTGCCGCTGCTGCTGGTGCCGCTGCTGCTGGTGCCGCTGCTGCTGGTGCCGCTGCTGCTGGTGCCGCTGCTGCTGGTGCCGCTGCTGGTGGGGCCGGCGCCGGTTTCACATGCAAGAGCAAAGGTGTCGAGGCCTCAAGCCCTGCCTTATTCTTTGCCCTCACCGATAGCTGGAAATCTCCGGAGACCGGAGGCTGCCCATGGAGCGCCTCCCCTTCAAAGCTCAGCCAATCTGGCAGGCCACCATCTCCCAACGACATGGACATCGTCACTGATCCGCCGTTAGGATCCACCATAGTGTTGGAGGGCACCAGTGTGCTGAAGGGCTTGCCCACGGTGGCCGTCACATCTGGTAAGCCCTGGATCACAATCGGAGCTTCTGCCTGTTGAGCTGCAGCGCTGGTGTCACTGGAAGCGCCTGCACTGGTGCCACTACTTGTTTCTGGTGCCACTGCTTCATCTGTGACCTTCAAGTGAATGCTTTGCTCACTCAGAAAGCCAGCCTCATTGGAAGCCTGAACCACAATGTGCAGTTCTTGCTTGCTGGTGGGCGTGCCGGAAAACTTCCGATTCGCTGGGTCAAAGTGCAGCCACGAAGGCAGGTCTGCACCCCCTTGCTGCAAAGCACGCAGGGTCACTTCACCATTTTCATCCTCAGGTGTGACCTCCGCGGCTTCTCGGTGCTCGAAGTGCTGACCCACTGGGACTGTAAGCGTAGGGCTTGCAAGAACAATCTTTGTTACTGTTGGAGCAGTGGTTGTTACACCAATGCAACCTAATCCGACTTCATCACAACAATACTTGCGCCAGTCATCAGGCCAGCTCTGCATATTCCGTAAATCCTCCACACAGTGTTGACTCTTTGCGTTGACCTTTGCCTTTGCGACTGCCAAGTTGAATACTTCTTCTTGATTGTGGGGCATCGATCCAAGAAGTCTGTCACTTGCCTGCACCCCAATGAGAAGCCACATGAATGGCAAGCATGCCAAACAGTGGCCCGGTGCCTTGTGAATGCACCAATCCATCGCGAAACGAAAACACAAAGCTTGAACACTTGTGCCAAAAAGGCTGAGGACGACCACCTGTCAAGTACCGTTATTGCTGACGACGTCAGAACACATCACAAAGCGATGCCAAAAAAACGGCGTTGGGACAAGCCTTGTTTAAACGGTTATTTCTACTTTCTCCGGGCAATCACGCACATGCTGCAGGCTGCGTGCAACGCGAGTGTTGCAACTCTGAACTCGTGATCGCCAAATGTCAATGTTCCAAACCTTGCAAAAGACATTCACATGTTTGTATTTGGGTCTGTTTGGCAGGCTTGCCCCCACTCCTTCCGAGCCATTCGCAAAGTTTGCGGTACCTTTGCAGTATGTTTCCGGGGTGCGTACCAAAGTAGTCTGAACTGACAATGCATTGGCAATGTGTTGCTTACACAACATGGAGGTTCAACATGACTAAACTCGTTGCAGTGGACGTTTAGTGCGTCGTAGTTTGCATGCAACAGCGTCCAAAACGCTTGACAAACAGGCTCATGTTGTTGGGTCGGTAAGTGCAAAGAAAGTACGTTCAAATTGAGCTATGAAACAAGTAAGCTAGGTTTGGCGACGATGCCGCAAACCAAGGGCTTGGGGAGAACTGGCGAACACACGAGTCAACATCCTAGCCCGCAGCCTTCGGGGATCCATCAAAAACCAGCGCTGCGCAACTGGAGCGGCTGAAACTGGGCATTGGAGCGCGAACGTTGGGGATCTCAGGAGCTAGCTATTTGCAGAATCTGACAAGCGGTGCGCGCTTTTTTGTTACTCTACTAAACTTAGAGCCTCCAATGCACGCGTGCAATCCGTGACTCATGCTGTGGTCATGATTGAATCTCAACCCTAATCTGACACGCTGCCTTCATGACCACAACAAACGGCGCACTGAGGCTCGTGGGGTCTATTGGGTCGAAAGAGCTCTCAAAAAAACCGGCGTGCTGCGGAACAGGCGGGTAGCCCAATGCACGATGTTGCCATGTTAGAATCCTGTTCACTGCTTCAAGCCAATAACAAGGGAACCAGACAGGAAAAAGCCAGGCGACTGTGAAGGCAAACGCGCCGCTTTTTTCCCGTGGAGTTGCTCAGAGGTGCAGGCCCAAAGATGCAGGGAAGGTGACAACGCGTGTCCAGCCGTTTTTCCTGCATCTGATGCGGGGCCTGGACAACAACGCGTGTTCGACCGACACGCGAGGTATGTTACCTCTGGGGCGTGAAACAGACTGAGGGAAAGCTTGAATGGCTAGGGGCAAAGCGTGGGCCTGCGGCCAGGATGCAACGCGTGCGACCTGAAAGCGGGGCAGGTACTACGTACCATGCCGACCTCAAAAGCGTGTCGAAGCAAGACACGCCCATCTGCTTGCACATGCATGCTGAGGTACCGTCTCCCAAGGTACACCTCAGAGATGTCAGGGTGGGAGGGAGGGCTTCAAACAAGACGGAGCCCACGAACCCGAACGCACATCACTTTGCGCAAACCCAAGAAAATAATTAAAGAGAACATGTTTCGGTATAAGCCATTGGGGCTCGCAATCAAGCCTACTGCGAAACTATGTTTTTCAGCTTGTAAAACTGTACTTTGCGCGCTCCACCTACAAAGTTGCGATTTTCGAGCTGGAGCTCAAAACCTGTACTTCGCGTGCTATACTTGCACTTCAAAGTTGCGATCTTCCAGCCAGAGCTGGAAACTCGTACTTCACGTACTGTACTTGCACTACAAAGTTGTGACTTTCCAGCTAGTTGCAATTCTCCAGCTGGCTGGTACTACAAAGTTGTGATTTTCCAGCTAGAGCTGGAAACCTGTACTTTGCGTACTAGACTTGTACTACAGAGTCGCAATTTACAGCTGGAGCTGGAAACCTGTACTTCGCGTACTAGACTTGTACTACAAAGTCGCGATTTTCCAGCTAGAGCTAGAACCCTGTACTTCATGTACTAGACTTGCACTACAAAGTCGCGATGTTCCAGCTAGAGCTAGAAACCTGTACTTCGCAAACTAGACTTGTACAACAAAGTTGCGATATTCCAGCTGGAGCTGGAAACCCGTCCTTCGCGTACTAGACTTGTCAAAGTTGCGATTTTCCAGCTAGAGCTGGAAACCTGTTCGTGCGCTAGGCTTGCGCTACAAGGTTGCGATTTTCAGCTAGAGCTGGACTTCGCGCACCTGCGCTTCGCGCACTAGACTTGTACTACACAGTCGCGATTTTCCAGCTGGAGCTGGAAGCGTTGTACTTCGCACGTTATAGACTGTACAAAGTTGCGATTTTCGAGCTGGAGCTGGAAACCTGTGCTTCATGCACTAGACTTGCGCTTCAGAGTTGTGATTTTGCTGACTTTTCCTGATGCAAAGACGCCTGCATGAATCCACGGTACATGTGAAACATGTCCAAGCTCAACTGTACAACAATCATGTCCAACGATTCACGCGGAACATTATGCAATCAGTGCACAACGTGTTGATGGGAGCTACATTCTTAGCACCCCGCCTCAAATATGACTGGCATATTACCAGTCTTGTTTGACACAAGAATGTCCTCGAGTTGAGTGCTCTGCTGGCACACATACTCATGATACACATGTCCTATGATCATCAAGATCACGCGCAAACGCAAAATGCGTCAATATGAAATCCCATCTGCTGAAATCCAAATGCAAATCACAGATTTCCACCATAGCACGTACTGCACCGCCTCAATCCCTGCTGGATAGCATAAGAAATGCCACACTGCCGCAAATCCGAGCTATGTTCCAGCCACTTGCACGAACTTCTGTGATAGCATCTTCCCTGTGCTGATGCCGCGCGGCATGTTGCAGACACGATGACCAAGGCCCTTTCGAGGCCACGCATCAATTTGTTGTTGCATTTTCTTGGAGCTTGCGATGAAGATGGTTTGGCAATCGGCCAATATGAAGCGGATGATCAGGAGGAAAAGCTGCATTTGAAGACTGTGATCAGACGAGTGCAGAGGGATGTTCAGGACTTGGGCATCTCAGCCAGCAATCTTTTGATTCGTCTGGAGCCAATGATACTCCAGATGATGACGCCTTGAGCACAAGCCCAATCAGTCGAATGCGTGAGGATGGTGTTCTCATTTGCGCATTTATGGTGCAATTTACATTGTATGTGGATTTACAGAGCTGTACAATTCATTTTCTTGCGATTGCGTGGTTTGACCATTGCAGCCTGTGCAGATGTTGTTGAGAAGAAGGAGCATGTTGACACTGAGCCCGAGGTGCAGAAGAAGCAGGCCAAACATGATACAGTTGACGCTTCGGTCAACTAGTGCTTTCCAATGGCTCTGTACTTGTCAAGTAAAGTAGGCAGGTCAACAGGGTCCTGATGAGACTTTATTTTGCTGATGACAATCTCTGTACGGGTGATGCGCACAGCATCACAGATGCAGGACACCAAATCAAAGTTGTCTCTATGCCAATGCGCTCGGGCATCAGGCTTTGCAAGTATCAAGGGCAGCAAGTTGACGACGTATTGACTGTCGCAAAAAGATACGCAAGTGCTGAGCTTCTGGATAACACAGTAGGCCATAATAGACAGCAAGCAATTTCTGCTCTGTTTTCGGTCTGTCGAAACCTGCCTGCACCACACAGAATGCATCTGGCAAGTTAAAACTTTATTTCCAGTTTTGCATGGCGTTTATCCTGTCTGTGTTCGGCGGAGCACGTGTCAGCTGACACCAGGGCCCAGGTGGCCTGCACCTCAGCCGGGTCTAGTGGGCTTTGTTGCCTCTCGAGGCGTAGTTCGAGCCTCTCTCTTTAGAGGCCATTCCCCAAACGGATTCTATTGCACCTGGGACTGCTTTTTTCACCGCCGCTCTCTGTATGCTGGTGGGACCAAAGAGGACGACAGCACGCGCTGCAGGTGCTCCGCCCCTGCTGCGATTAGCGGTGCCTCTGCGGAATTCTTTACACGTCTTGCTTGTCCTTTGGTGATCCTGCGATTCGACAAGATAAGGACCACAGTATGCCAACGTGTTGGAAGGTTCATTGCTGAGAATCCCTTCAGCTTGGGCTGAAGGTCTTGCTGGAAGTTCAAGTCCGTCTTCACACCCTCCACGCTAAATTTTGCATCTAAGCAGAACATGAGCTTCTCGCCATTGTCCAACGGGACAATGAGGAAGTGGTCGAAGTTCGAATCGTGATCTGCGGCCATGCTAATGGTCAACAGCACCTTCTCGCCAGCATGACAACTGAGCTGAGAAAAGTTCACTTCTGCCACATCTCTGCCACCTCTGACACAACGCACTGCAAGATCTTTTCTCACTCTTTTTCTGAGCAGTTCTTGGGCCTTGGTATTGGACACCCCGCTTCCAAAGACATGCTGCAGAACGGTATGGCCACCAAGAATCAAGCCCGTGTTGGTTTGTGACAACGCAGCAACTCGCAAAGCTGGCGCGATGCCCGTGAGCTCCTCGAACTGCGTCCACGTAGGTGAGCAAAAATCCGTCAGTGTGTAACGAACTTTCCTTTGAGTGCCCTTATCTATCTCAGTTGGAAGTTCGAACTGGCCTGCCGCAATCTGCAAGGGTGGCAGCGAAACAAGGAAATGCCCGTCTTTGGGTAAGACGAAGGCGGCACCGAGACTCAGGCTGTTCTGCATAAATGCAGTTTTCAGCATCTCAGAGCGGATGGGCACATCCGCAACGGCCGCCTGAAAGAGGTCCGCCGTCGTCCAGTAGTTGGATGCGACCTCCTGATATTGGCGAAGACAGGACTGGGTGGGGTCCTGGTTCATTTCAAGTTCCTCTTTTGCAGAGGACCAACTGGCTAGCGGCCGCACACAGCCGCCGAAGAGCCCCGGCAATGACACTCCTTCGAAATTGATCCGCGCACCTGGAATCCCGTCCTGGAAAATCTGCTCCATGTCATCCTCTGCTAATACTGGCAGCTCTATATCGCACAGTCGATTGCCAGATAGGCGCAAGAAGGACGGTGAAAAAGCACCAACCACAAGACTCATGCGAGTCTTTGACGGC